ATCATATCTCCTCTCAGCCTCCTCTTCTTCAGGCTAAGCATGCCCAGCTCCTTAAGCCACTCCTCATAGGGCTTGTTCTCCAGACCCTTGATCATTTTAGTCACCCTCTTCCTCTGGACACATTCCAGCTTGTCAATATCTCTCTTGAATTGTGGTGCCCAGAATTGGACACAATATTCCAGATGTGGTCTAACCAAAGCAGAATAGAGGGGTAGCATGACTTCCCTAGATCTAGACACTATGCTCCTATTGATGGAGGCCAAAATCCCATTGGCTTTTTTGCCGCCACATCACATTGTTGGCTCATGTTTAACTTGTTGTCCACAAGGACTCCAAGATCTTTTTCACACGTACTGCTTTCGAGCCAGGCATTGTCCCCCATTCTGTATTTTTGAATTTCGTTTTTTCTGCCAAAGTGCAGTATCTTGCATTTGTCCCTGTTGAACTTCATTTTGTTAGTTTTGGCCCATCTCTCTAATCTGTCAAGATCGTTTTGAATCCTGTCCTCTGGAGTATTGGCTCTCCCTCCCAATTTGGTGTCGTCTGCAAACTTGATGATCCTGCCTTCTAACCCTTCATCTAAGTCAGGGGTCCTCAAACTAAGGCCCGGGGGCCGGATGCAGCCCTCCAAGGTCATTTACCCGGCCCTCGCTCAGGGTCAACCTAAATGTAAAACGACTTGAAAGCACACAACAGTAACAACAATCCTATGTCATCAGCCAAAAGTAGGCCCACACTTCCCCATTGAAATACTAATAATTTTATATTTGTTGAAATTGTTCTTCATTTCAATTATTGTATTGTTTTTAAGTGTTTTTGCACTACAAATAAGATATGTGCAGTGTGCATAGGAATTCATTCATTTTTTTTTTCCAAATTATAATCCGGCCCTCCAACAGTTTGAGGGACTGTTACCTGGCCCTCTGTTTTAAAAGTTTGTGGACCCCTGATCTAAGTCATTAATAAAGATGTTGAACAGGACCGGGTCCAGGACGGAACCCTGCAGCACTCCGCTCGTTCATTCTCTGTAACTCTAAGCATGCCCATCTCCTTAAGCCGCTCCTCATAGGGCTTGTTCTCCAGACCCTTGATCATTTGAGTCACCCTCTTCCTCTGGACACATTCCAGCTTGTCAATCTCTCTTCAATTGTGGTGCCCAGGATTGGGCACAATATTCCAGGTGTGGTCTAACCAAGGCATGGGTAGCATGACTTCCCTAGATCTTCTGGCTTGGGCCTGTGGAACTGTGGCCAGCCAGGTGGAGGCCCACCAGAATGAGGCTTCATTCCAGCAACCCAGCTTGGGTAGGGTTTGGCGCCTGGGAAAGGTGCGCCTGTGGAGTCTGTGCCTGCCTCTCAGGGTTTGGAGGAGCAAGTGGGCCTCTCCCTGCTGTCCCTTCTCCCTCTCTGCAGCATCTCCTGCCTCCATCCTTCCTTCTCTTCAGGGGTCTGGGCCTTCCTCCTCTCCCTCCTCCTCCTCCTCCTCCTCCTCTTTCCCCCTCCCCTCTCCATCTCTCGCGGGGGCTGCTGGGAAAGCGGCAGCGGCGGCAAGATGGCTGCGCCGCCCCTCGGCGGCTCCGGTGCGCGCTCTCCCTCGCCTCTGCCTGTGCCGCCGCCGCCGCCTCCACCACAGCCGCTGCTCCCGTGCCTTTCGCTTCCCTCCCCGGGCCCTTCCTGGTCGCCTTCGCCGTCCCCTCTGCGGAGCTCCCTGGCCTAGAGGAAGAGGAGGAGGAGGAGGGAGCCGCAGCCTTTGCGTGCCTTTGCGGCCATGCTGCTCTCCGAGAGCAAGGGAGGGTGAGACCGGGGGCCCGGCCTGGATGGGGCCTCCTTCCCCTTGCCATCCATTCATTCATCCCTCCATCCACCCTCTTAGTCTGATGATCCTTGGGCCTCCCTTGTAGCCGCCCTCCTTCCTTCTAATTCCATCCATTCATCCATTCCTCTGCCTCTCTCTCTCTCTCTCTCTCTCTAGTCTCCCTCCTTGACTGCCCTTCCCCCTCTCTCTCCCTTTCTCCTTCCCTTCTCCCTCCTCCTCCTCCTCCTCCACTGGGCCCCTCTGCCATCCATTTTCTTTCTCCCCCTCCTCTATTCATCTGACAGGGTCACTCTTTCTCCTTCCTTCCCTCCCTCCCTTCTTCCCCTTTCGCTGCATTTCCCTTTCTCCATCCTTTTTTCCTCCTCTCCTCAGCATCAGCATCTCTTCCCCACCCTCCACCATTCTGCAGATATTTCTATCTCACTCTTGATTTTTTTCCCCTCCTTTTCCTCTTGTGTTTGCCCTCTCCCTCCTTGGCACGTGTCTGATTTTCGCTTTTTTTTTCTTTTCTGGGCTGCCTCCCTCTTCTGCCCTTCTTTCCCCACTCCTGTCCCCAGGTTTTGTCAGTGCCCTTCCGTCACCCGGTTGGTTTTATATGCGGCTTTCCTCTCCTAAAATGAGCCACTGTGGGTCTTGTTTTAAGAGGGACGAACCAGATGTAAATATTATTATTATAATTGCAATAGTAATGATTTTTCATTGGTCAATCCGTGCCCTTCAGTCACCCAGTTGGTTTTATATGCAACTTATCCTCTCCAAAAACGAGCCACTGTGGGTCTTGTTTTAAGGAGGGCAAGCAGGATGTAAATATTATTGTTACCATTACAATAGTAGTGATTTTCCTCTGGTTGTTCCATTCTCCTTGGTCACCCAGTTGGTTTTATATGCAGCTTTCCTCTCCAGAAATGAGCCACTGTGGGTCTTGATTTAAGAGGGGCAAACCAGATGTAAATATTATTATTGTTATTGCAAGCAGGATGTAAATATTATTATTATTATTATTGCAATAGTAATGATTTTTCACTGGTCATTCCATGCCCTTCAGTCACCCAGTTTTATATGCAACTTTCCTCTCCTAAAACAAGCCACTGTGGGTCTTGTTTTAAGAAGGGCAAGCAGGATGTAAATATTATTGTTAGCATTACAATAGTAGTGATTTTCCACTGGTCGTTCCATTCTCCTTGGTCACCCAGTTGGTTTTATATGCAGCTTTCCTCTCCAGAAATGAGCCACTGTGGGTCTTGTTTGATGAGAGGCAAACTGGATGTAAATATTATTATTGTTATTGCAATAGTAATATTTTTTCATTTGTCATTCCATGCCCTTCAGTAATCCAGTTGGTTTTATATGCAGCTTTCCTCTCCTAAAACAAGCCACCGTGGGTCTTGTTTAAAGAGGGGCAAGCAGGATGTAAATATTATTATTATTATTATCATTATTATTGCAATAGTAATGATTTTTCACTGATCATTCCATGCCCTTCAGTCACCCAGTTGGTTTTATATGCAACTTTCCTCTCCAAAAACAAGCCACTGTGGGTCTTGTTTTAAGAGGAGCAAGCAGGATGTAAATATTATTATTGTTATTGCAATACTAATAATTTTCTACTTGTCATTCCATTCCTCTCGGTCACCCAGTTGGTTTTATATGCGGTTTTCCTCTTAAAACGAGCCACTGTGGGTCTGGTTTTAAGAGGGGCAAGCAGGATGTAAATATTATTAGTATTATTGCAATAGTACTGTTCACTGGTCATTCCATTCCCTTCGGTCACCCAGTTGGTTTTATATGCAGCTTTCCTCTCTTAAAATGACTCACTGTGGATCTTGTTTTAAGAGGGGCGAGATCCACAGAGGATCTGTGGATCTTGCCCCAATGACAATAATAATATTTAAGAAGATGTAAATATTATTATTGTCATTGCAATGATGTTCCATTGGTAGGGAAACCCTCAGGTGGCATTGGTGGGTATAGCCTTAGCAAAGAAGGGGACGAGAAGAAGAAGATGCAACCCAAAGGCAACATTTTGGGGTAGAGCAGGCATCCTCAAACTTCGGCCCTCCAGCTGTTTGGGCCTCCAACTCTCAGAAGCTCTAACAAGCTTGTTCAGTTGTCAGGAATTCTGGGAGTTGAAGGGCCCAGTCAGGTGGCGGGCCTCAGTTTGAGGATGCCTGGGGTAGAGGATTAACAGATCTTTGGGGGATTGTTTTGAGGGGTACCTATAGTTCCCGATACATCAGACACTTTAGCGCAGGCATGGGCAAACTTCGTGCCTTCGGGTGTTTGGGACTTCAACTCCCATAATTCCTAACAGCCTCAGACCCAATCCTTTTCTCCCTCAACCCTCCGGGTGTTTGGGACTTCAACTCCCACCATTCCTAACAGCCTCAGGCCCCTTTCACTAGGCATGGGCAAACTTGGGCCCTCCAGGTGTTTTGGACTTCAACTCCCACATTTCCTAGTAGCCTCAGGCCCCTTCCTTTTCCCCCTCAGCCACTTAAGCGACTGAGGGGGGAAAGGAAAGGGCCTGAGGCTGTTAGAAGAATGGTGGGAGTTGAAGTCCAAAACATGGTTGGAATTTGTGGAAGGTAGGGATTGCAGTAGGAAGAGATGGAGTGAGGCTGGGATGGAAGGAGTGTTTTTGTTTGGAGGGGGAAATAACACCAAGGGGAGGAAAGGAAGGAGAAAGGAAGGTTGAAGGTTCCGCACCTGAATGTTGTGGGTTGGCGGTATAGGGTCTAATGCAGTGGTTCCCAAGTGGGCCATGAGACCTAAAATAAGGTCTGTGGCTCTAGGTTATTGAATATGGTTGTCTGTGGGTTAGCAGATAGCGACTACTGGATGGCATATGTTCTATATCCGAAACTAGATCTGATGTGGTCTATCCAATACAGTTTTCTGAATCGGCACCCCAAATAAACACACTGAATCTACAGTTGACCAAAAACTGTTTTGTAACCCTTTTGGTACTAATTTTGAAAAGTGGTCCTTGGTCAAGTGGTTCCTGATCAAAAACGATTGGGAACCACTGGTCTAATGTGAGGGAAAGGGACTAAGTTGCTTCCGACTTAGAGGGCTCACCTTCTCATCTGCATATCCTATCCCTTCCGACTCAAGAAGGAGGGGGCATTTCCTGAAATCTCCCTCCCTCTGCCCACCAGTGACTGCCTCTCCCTCTCTCCATACAGTGAGGAGAAGCAAGAGGTCCCCATGGAACCATCTGAGCCCCGCCCCGAAAGCGAGGGCCCCGAGCCTGGCCCTGACGAACACCCGTCCACGGAGCCCCCTGGCCCTGATGCGGGCCCCGACGACGAGGAAAAGAAAGAGGTAGCATGTTGGGGGTCTCCTTGGCTCAGGGGTGAGGCGAGCCCAGGGGTGGCCTGTTGCAGGAAATGGGGGTGAGGGGAGTAAAAAAGGTGCAGTGGGGCACAGCTGGGGAAGGCACCCTTGGAAGCAGCTGGTCACAAATCTTTCCAGAAAGGGTTTGTGAGTCATAGACTGGGCGCTTGGCTCGTCCATAGTTTCCTGACAGGCATCAAAGTGGGGAAGAGCTGCCCTCTTGCCTGAGACCCTCCCTAAAGCCCTGTCCTCATTTTTTGTCACCTTTAGCACCAAGAAGTGTTAAGCCTGAGTGTGTGTATGTGCTTCAATTCTTTGGTGAAAGGATGGGGCTGAGAATCCAATAGAGTTGGCTTCTGAAGAAACTCAGATTTTGTTTTTATCTGGAAAACAAAAATTAGTTTCTAGCCCTGTCAACAAGAGATGCATGGAAGGAAGTATATGGGGAATGACCGCTAGAGCGGTGGTTCTCAACCTGTGGGTCGCTAGGTGTTTTGGCCTGCAACTCCCAGAAATCTCAGCCAGTTTACCAGCTGTTCAGATTTCTGGGAGTTGAAGGCCAAAACATCTGGGACCCACAGATGGAGAACCACTGTGCTAGAGCAACGGCTGAGCAAACCGTCTGGCCCGGTGGAGGGATGAGGCAGGAGTCTAGTGCCCTGCAATATATTTCTGACCACTTCTCTTACCCAGACAATGGCAAAATTGATAATGTGCAGGAGAATGGACTAAATTGTGTAAATTGATAAAAAATTATGCAAATTTTCTCAACTCACATAATTTATTTTCAGTTTGGAGTTCAGCTTTTCATGTTTAAAGTTCATAGGCACTGAAATCTGAATTTGAGCACTTCCCTCTGCCTTCAGCCAAAGACAGGTATACATGTAAACAATGCTGGCTGTATGAATGTACAAGGTATCAATGACCCCAGCCCACTCCTTCCCTCAACCCTGGCTCTTCCTATTAGCTTGTAAAGGCCCAGATTTTGGGGCATTAATGATACTTTTTTTTGCTGAAAGTCATTTTATGGTCAGATGTCTCCTCCCAGTCCTGAAATGCCCACCATTTGACTTTTTTTACCGTGAGCCAGTGTACGAACTGGCCTTTTCCATCTGCTCTGTTGTGAAAGGGAGGGCTTATGACCAGGGTGGGCAAGGTGTTTTGGGAGTGACACATGGGTGCACGCGAACACACATGCACACACGTACACCTATGAGACTCTGCTTTCCTTGCCGCTAAGAAGAGGGGAGGGTGGGGACAGACCTTGCTTCCTCCTCACCCTAAAGCTAGCTTCCCCCCACAATCCCGTTGACATTCTCCTCTGGACTCGTTTGTTCTGATCCCCGTTTTAAAGAGGCTCCAATCCACCGGGAGTGCGAAAGAGAGAGTGAGAGAGAGAGAGAACCGGAGAGAGAGAGCGCGGACGTACTTGAGCAGGCCGTACGCAGGTACGCACAAAGGTGGATGAGGAATTTTGGAGATCCGTCTCTTTTGGCTGTCCAACCTAGGCTTCTGCTGCCTCTGTTCTTTGTTCTATGACTCCAGAACCAAAGATCTCTCGTCAAAAGAACAAGAGATCACTGCGGAGGGCCCCACGCGCCCTTGGGCCTTTCTAACTCCATGAACCCGCCTTCAGTGGAGTTTTTGACCCGCAGAACTGTATTTGCCTTTTGCTCATTGCTAGTTGGTCTCCGGAGCAGAAAAGTCCTGCTGTTGAAACCCTCCTTGGCTGAAAAATCTCACAGTCCCAAGGGTCCAAGAACCTGAGAACTTGGCCTAGTGGTTCTTGGCCTTCTGCAGTCTACATAATGTTGTCCTTGCCTCTGCTATGAATTCATAATGTTTGTGTCTCCTGTCAACAAAACTTCCCTTTGTATAAGAGTGTTTCTTTCTAAGGACTTCATGCATTCTAAACTGCTGCCTGAGACAAGCAAGTCTCCCGTCATGAACTCACTGCTGCGAGGAGAAGGCTTGGAGAACCTCCTGTATTACTTTGGGCGTTTGAGCTAGATTCCAGAGGGCCCATCGTTCATAGGACTTCTTCATCATGCTCAGTCACATGTGATGACCTCCAGCTCCTGAGAACCTGATCTCTGCAATGGTCCCTCCACTAATTATGGGACTGGACTCAGGAGGCTTCTTGAAGGAGGGGCTGGCCCTCTTGTCCATCCTGTTGTGCAGAATTGCCAGTGTTCAGAGACTTTGTTGCCTAGATGCAAAGTTTTCTTCCACAAGTGCTGGTTTATTGAGAACTTCCACATTCGCCAAGTTCTCTGGAGCCGTAAAGTGTCACCTGAGAGGACTCAGCTCGCCCAGGGTCCTCCAAACATCCAAGTCTCCCAGTTGTTGGCTTCCATTGTGCCTTACTTGGACTCTCCATTTTCACTTACCCTGCATCCACCTGTTGTTTGGACGCTATCCCCATTTGTGAATACACTTCTCCACCGTTCTTGCTGGCGTTTTCCACTGGTTGTACCTCCAAGTCCCCGTGCCATTTGTGGGACTTCTGCCATGGGCTGGTGCTTTGGTCTCTACCTGCCAAGAACTGCTGCCTTGAGCCTCCCCCTCGCCATTTTGGGGGAGGTCCTTCTGTCTCGCCCTCTCTCTTCCGGGACACTTGACTCCGACCACCAACCAAGCGCTAGGTTCCTACCTACCTACCACCAACCAACCAACCACCACCTCCTCTCTTGTCACCCAACCCAACCAAGCACGCACCTTTCAGGCCAGGGAGGGCTCGTTCCGATTGGACCAGCCGTTGCCTAGATACAGCGCACACACTGAGGTGCGATTGGCTGAACAGAAGACCCTGCCCCAGGTGTGAGAGGGTACCTGGAGCACTTGTCCTAAGTTGTTATCTATATCTATTTTTTCTGTTGGTTTTAATATAATTTTTAAAGGAAAAAATAATTTGCTATTTCTCCTGGGGGGTGGGGGGTTCTTGTCATGGCTGAAATGGAGGGGTTTAACCTCTACATTTCCATTTAATGATAGGGGGCATGGAATTTATTGGAGGGGGGTAACCTAGTTTGTGTACAAACCTGGTTTGGTCCAGCACCCAGCCTCGCTCAGACTGAGGGGAACGCTGATTCCGGGGTTGGGACAATACTCCACCTGCCCCTTCATTTCCAGAATAACCTGCTGTTCAGGAATAAAGTGGACATCTATGAAGAAAAGAAAGTGTTGCTGAATCAATTGGCATCTTCAGTTTTTCCAAAACAGTTTCTCTTAACCTAAAGAGATGGGGAAGGCCCAGCATTCAAGTGATTCCTCCCCCTCCTGCTTTTGTGATAGATAACAAAAGCTGGGGAGATGTGTGTGTATATATATATATATATCTTATGTTCCTATGGGATATCTAGAGCAGTGTTTCCCAATCTTTGGTCCTCCAGGTGTTTTGGACTTCAGCTCCCACATTTCCTCAGCTGGTGAGCTGGCTGGGATTTTGGGAGCCAACATCCAAAACAACTGAAGGACTAAAGGTTGGGAACTGCTGATTTAGAGAGTGTAAGGAAGGACCATTTTAGGTTTTAGAGAGGCCTTTTGTCCAACACTTAATTCCCTGAAGAGAAGATTTCTCCTGACCCTAAAGTTGCCCAGAGGGGGCCAAAAAAGTGAAACTTTCCCCCTTCCAGAGACATTGAAAAGCCAAAAAACAATCAGAAATATTTATAAGGATGTGCAGGTCTCCTGAGAAGGCAATGTAGTCCTGCAGGTCCCAGTAATCGCCCACCTTTCTATATCCTGATATGCGCAGGATGTGACTCAGTTTATCTTATTTATTTACCTTATTTGTACCCCACCATTCTCAACCTCGAGGGGACTGAAGGCGACTTCACGTATCGGCAACAATTCAGTGCCTTAAAAACATACAATTGGTAAAAACATCTACACTAAAAACAGAGAATTGAAACACATAAAAACAGTTACATCAATTATTAAAATCACATTATCCAATGTTGTAGTCCAGGGAATTCCAAAATGTCATTGCACAGATTCATTGTTCATTTGTTGCACTGCAGTTAATCTCCAAAAGCTTGGTCCCATAACCCTGTTTTAACTTTTTTCCTGAAGGGAAGGAGCTGATTGAATATCACTGGGGAGGGAGTTCCATAGTCGAGGGGCCATCACTGAGAAAGCCTGTCTCTCATTCCCACCACCTGGGTCTGTGAAGGAGGTGGGACTGAGAACGGCCTCCCAATAATATCTTAATCTCCACTAGCTTCTCCAGACAGTATAGTTAGTGATCACACTGGCTGGGGATCATGGAGCTTGTAGTCTGGCATATCTGGAGAGCCCCATCTTGAGCAGTTTAATGTGCCTCTTAATCATGTGCCCCTGAGTCCTAATTAATTCATCACTGAAGTCAAGAAGGAGCCCTCAGCCGTCTCAAGTGACATGCCAAGGCCCCACATTGCTTCTGTGACATTTGGCTGTCCTCACAGAGCAAAGCTAATGATAGAGTGCCTTTTTCCACAAAGTGGAGGAAGGGCTGGAATGGGAAGGGATCCATGCAGTCAGTGTTTTTGGAGCAATGTGCTAACCGCCAAAGCAACAATGGAGAAGAATTATGTGGGGCATTAGAGCATTATTCTACAGTCAGTATCTGCTGGAAGCCAACCATAGAATCACATTGGATGACCCAGAAAGTGTTCTTTTAAGAAAAAGAGAATTTGTTCTAGGCCCACCATCATCAGGAGTCCCCAGTGGCGCAGTGGGTTAAACCGCTGAGCTGCTGAACTTGCTGACCAAAAGGTTGCAGGTTCGAATCCGGGGAGTGGGGTGAGCTCCCACTGAGGCCCAGCTTCTGCCAACCTAGCAGTTTGAAAACATGCAAATTTGAGTAGATCAATAGGTACCACTCTGATGGGAAGGTAACAGCACTCCATGTAGTCATACCAGCCACATGACCTAGGAGGTGTCTATGGACAACGCCAGCTCTTCAGCTTAGAAATGGAAATGAGCACCAACTCTCAGAGTTGAACATGACTGGACTTAATGTCAGGGGAAAACCTTTAACTTTTACCTTAGCACTATCATCTGGAAGAAATTGATCATAGAGTCACACTGGAGAATCTAGAGATTCTCAGAGCATTTTTAATCAAATCTATGAGCAATTAAATTCTCAAAAGTCACCAGTGCAATTCACTTGTGAGCTTGTGTTTATCTTTATCTTAACTAGGGAAATTATCCTGTTCCATTACAGAATCAACTTCGGCTTCTGGAACCTTACATAATCTAAAATAAACCTATCCTATAGATTGCTGGACCACCTTGGAAGGAGAATCCTGAGTGGGATATAAATAATTTTAATACATGCACAAATATGTCCTATTATTTGTCTTTATGTACTAGCATCTTTAGCAATTGAATTAAAGCATATGTTGGGAGTTTTTTTTCTATGTAGTTTCCTAGTGCAATGCTTATTACTTGATTTTTTTTTTCATTTGAAGGACAGCTCGAAGCTACTTTCATAAAAATAAATCAAATGCAAAACCAGGCAATTAGAAAGAGGGCAATAAAGCAACACAACAAAAATAGCAATATTAAAGGATCCTACTTATATTTTGCAAAAAGAAGATTTGAAAGCAATTGATGAGAACAGTTTTCATAAAGCTAGAACATTGCATATTAAAAAGTTTGCTTAATAAAAATATCCATCCAGATCCAAATAGGAAGGGGTGACCTTGTGTGGGCTCCATTAAATGTGGAAAAACTGTGAATAAAATAGCTTTTGCTTTTCAAAATCTGAGAGAATGTCTCTCTAGAAATCTCTAGGTCCTTTGTGACTCTGTGAACAACCTCAGCAGGCAATCTCTGGCTCCTCTGTTGTGATTCTATGAGCAAAAATTCATAAATTCAAAAATGAGCAAAAATTCATAAATTCAAAAATTCACTTCCAGCAAAAAATGACCGTAGTCTTGCACTAGAGCATCTCAAGATTCCTAGAGAGAATCTTGAGATTCCAGATATATAGTTTCCAACAGACCCCACAACCTCTGAGGATGCCTGCCATAGAAGCTTTTCATGGCCAGAATCACTGGGTCGATGAGAGTTTTCCGGGCTGTACGGCCATGCTCAAGAAGCATTCTCTCCTGACATTTCACCCCCATCTATGGCAGGCATCCTCAGAGGTTTATATATCAGTGGAATGTACATTCCTGGACATTCCACAGATACATAAACCCCACTTACCTCATTTCCAGCAGACCTCTCAATCTCTGAGGATGCCTGCCATAGAAGCTTTTCATGGCCAGAATCACTGGGTCGATGAGAGTTTTCCGGGCTGTACAGCCATGTTCAAAAAGCATTCTCTCCTGACGTTTCACCCACATCTATGGCAGGCATCCTCAGAGGTTTATATATCAGTGGAATGTACATTCCTGGACATTCCACAGAAATATAGACCCCACTTTCCTTGTTTCCAGCAGACCTCTCAACTTCTGAGGATGCCTGCCATAGGTGTGGGTGAAACGTCAGGAGGGAATGCTTCCGGAACAAGGCCATACAGCCTGGAAAACTCACAGCAACCCAAATTTTAACCAAATACACAAAAGTGAATCCTCACAAACATGGAGGCCTAACTATATATTTCATATCCTAGGAGCGATTGTGGTACATTTCCTCATGAGAACTAGGCCTTCACCAGAAGTCTCACTTGAAGTTAATTTGGTTTTAAGAGATTCAGGTGCTTTCTGTTAAAAAGTCTAAATGTCTGGGAAGAAGGAAGTCAGGGGAGCAAGGAACACATTAAGGACGTGGGCTAAAAAAGATGCTAGGAACCCTCAGGCTGTGATTCCTGTATAGTAAGTTGGGATCCTGCCATCTCCACTTTATTCCTGAGTCAGCGGGGACCCCCACACCCAGCTCCCACCTCCTCTTCATCTGGGCCCCTGGGCCATTATGTATGGCCTCCCCTCTTTCCCTTAACCCCGACCTTCCTCAGGTATGGCAGCCAATTTCCAAACGCTTGGTGCTGACTTCACTACCCCCTCCATGCGGGGCTTTTTTCTTTTCTTTCCCTCCTTCTTTCTCTCTTTCCTCCCTTTCTCTTCCCTTTCCTTCTTCCTGCCCTTCCTTCTTCCCTTTCTCTATAGGGTTCAACTCAACCCAAGGCCTTCAAACGGAAGATATCAGTTGTATGTAAGTAAAAGACCCCTTTCCAGAATGTGATGGATTTTAGTACGGCTCTACTTTCTGAGCACATTTGGGAAGGGAGCGGGGTGAATTGTTTTGCTGGTGTTATTCTTTTTCAACTTCTAGGGATCCTAGAACAACCCTCTCATGGAGTTTTCTTGACAAAATTTAGTTGATTTAGCCCTCTTCTGAGGCTGAGAAAGTGTGACTGCCCCAAGTGGGTTTTCATGGCTGGGCAGGAATTTGAACCCTGGTCTCCCAGAGTCATAATTCCACTTTATCACATGGAATTACCTCCTGCTCTCTAATGTTAATTGATCTTTTTGGTTAGGGGCCAAGTACCATTCTCTTTGCTGTTTAATAAATAATAAATAAACCTTTATTTATACCCCGCTACCATCTCCTGAAGGACTGTTACTGGTGTTATTGTTACTGTTTATTGCTTTGCTTATGAGTTTATTTATTGCCTGTATTGCTGCTGTTGTTGTTGTTGTTTTTACTGATATACTTGGGCTCGGCCTCTTGTAAGCCGCCGAGCCCAAGTATATCAGTAAAAACAACAACAACAACAGCAATACAGACAATAAATAAACTCATAAGCAAAGCAATAAACAGTAACAATAAGATTGAGTGTTGGTGCTGCTCCCTTTTCAGGGATATGAAAAATCCGCAGTTATGGGACTGGGCAGAACTTCAACCAAACGTAATCCATGGATCTTTGGAAAATTATTTTTTTGGCCATTAAAAAACAGCTTTTCCGAACTGAGTTGCTTTGAGTTTTCTAGGCTGCATGGCCATGTTCCAGAAGCATTCTCTCCTGACACTTCACCCATATAAATGGCAGGCATCCTCAGAGGCTGTGAGGTTTGTTGGAAACTAGGCAAGTGGGGTTTGGAATTTCTAGTGTGGGAGAAAGAACTCTATCTGTTGGGGGCAAGTGTGAGTGTTGCAATTGGTCACCTTGATTAGCATTGAATAGCCATGCAGCTTCAAGACTTGGCTGCTTCCTACCTGGGTGGATCCTTTGTTGGGAGGTGTTAGCTGGCCCTGACAATTTCAACAGAAAAGAGGAAACCAAGAAAATGAATAAATCCTGGATACCAGTATTAAAAAAAACTTTTAAATCAGGACAGTAAATAAAGAGAAATACTCAAAAACAGAGGAACTCCAAATAAGAAACAAGTCAGGGCCAGCTAATCACCTCCCAACAAAAGATTCCCCCAGGCAGGAAGCAACTAAGCCTTGAAGCTGCTAGGCTATTCGATGCTAATCAAGGTGGCCAACTGCAACATTCACACTTGCCTCAAATAGACAAGAATTATTTCTTCCACCTTGAACATTATTCCACAGATATATAAACCCCACTTGCTTAGTTTCCAACAGACCTCACAATCTCTGAAGAGGCCTTCCATAGATGTGAGTGAAACGTCAGTAGGGAATGGTTGTGAAACATGGCCATACAGCCCGGAAAATTCGCAGTAACCCAGTGATTCTAGCCATGAAAGCCGTCAACAACAGCTTTTCCGAAGTCTGGCACAGGCAGCAAAGGCGAGAGGGCTTAGGTTGATTGCACTTTCACAACACCTATCCCATTTTGGGGGGAGGGGGAATGATACAAGCCATGTTTTGGGTCAGCGGTAGAAAATTCCCTTCCAAGTTCACCAATGTTGAAGCAATTCTTCCTGCAGAGATGTTGGAAGAATTGCTTCAACATTGGTGAACTTGGAAGGGAACTTTCTACTGCTGATGTCTGAATTGGGCAGGGTTGGAGAGTACAGTGCTCCTCTCTGTCTTTGAGTCATCCTCATTTTGAGGAACGTTGCATATCCGTGCAACTGATCTTAGCACTGAGTGGGTCTCCTCTATCGGTTGCAGCTTCATCTGTGGCCAAGAGCCCCGTGGCAACAAACAGTGACACGGAGGCAAGTCAGCCAGGAGGCCGGAAACGGCGCTGGGGATCCAGCACAGCTGTGACGCAGAAGAAGCCTTCAATCAGCATCACCACAGAGTCCCTCAAGGTAGTGGAGTGGACGGTAGCGGGGAGAGTGGCAGATTTATCTAGGTCTGGCTTGTCATCACAGCCTGACCCTCGCCCTCTGTGTTGTATCCCAGAGCCTGATCCCTGAGATCAAGCCGCCCACAGGAGGGCAAGAAGCGGTGGTGGACCTCCACGCAGATGACTCTCGCATCTCCGAAGATGAATCTGAGCGCCACTCGGAAGAGCCTCCCCATGAGAAGGCTCTCAAGATCTGCCGCACCGTTACGCAGGTTGGTGACTGTGTGGGTCATGGATGAGGTTGTTAATAGGTTTGTCAGCAAACGTTGTGAAGTGGACACAAACCATCCCTTAAAGAACTATGTGAAATTTGTCTATTGATGGTAAACATTTAATAAATTCCAGAACATTCCCCTTCCTAGTAAAAAAAGATCCAGGACATGACAGTTTTCTGCCTGTGGAGACAGAATTGTGAGGGAAACCTCCATGCAGCCTCCACATTTGACCGCTTTAGCGATCGGCTCGCCCACCTTCAAGATGCTCTCAGCTATTCAGAATGGGAGGAAGCTTGCTGCAAAAAGAAATCTTTTTATAGAAGGGGGATAGAGCAGTTTAACCCATGATGAAATGTATTTCTGAAGTCTTTGACCATTCTTGTGCCTATTTCCTTTGATGGAGGCCCCCTCTGTGCCATGGTCCCCACACTTTCACATCCAAACCTCTCTGCCTCCCATATTGTGTTCTCTGTAGGTGGTGCCAGCAGAAGGCCAGGAGAATGGCCAAGGAGAGGAAGAGGAAGAAGAGGAGAAGGTCCAAGAGGAGGAGCCGCCCGAGGCTCCTCCTGTTGTTGCCGTAGAGGCTGTCGTTCCACTGCCCCCCGTTGAGCACGAAGTGAAAAAAGGTGTGATGTGGAGCCACAAAGTGAGGCTGTTGGGGATTTCAGAGATTTCTCATGTTTCTGTATGGTATTAATCTTCCTTCCTTCCTCCATAGTCACGTTGAGTGACACACTGACACGACGCTCCATAAGCCAGCAACGCTCTGGCGTCTCCATCACCATTGACGACCCCGTTCGCATTGCCCAAGTCCCCTCCCCACCCCGAGGCAAGGTCGGCAACATCGTCCACATCTGCAACCTGGTAAGTCCTGTGGAAGGGGTGCAACAGTTGCTTGGCAAACGCATGGATGGGCTTGTCCTTCCTGACCGTGGAGTGTCTTTCTCCACAGGTGAGACCCTTCACTTTGGGGCAGCTGAAGGAGTTGCTGGGTCGGACAGGCACTCTGGTGGAAGAGGCCTTTTGGATAGACAAGATCAAATCTCATTGCTACGTCACAGTGAGTGCCCATTTTGGTTATTTATTTTTCTCCCCGTCTCTGTCTGTTTTGGATGTGTCTGCTGTCACATTAGAAAGAGGGAACATGGCTAAAATGCTTATGGAAACTTTCCCTTTTGATGTATAAAAGCATCTTTTCTCACTAGGAGAATCCTGTTTATTCCTCCTTTAGGAAAACAGAATAGCAGCTTGCGTGTTTTTTCCCCCAAACATAAAACATAGAGCAAAGATAATCAGGACCATCCAGAATTGTATGTATTCTGTAGCTGTATTTAAGACCCAGAGGATGAATTAAAAGTCTTCACAGCCTTGTTAGGAAAACATTTATATCTGTCCTAGAACATAATGGGAAATGGAACTCAACATTCTAAAAATGTCTTGTCCTTCTCTGCCTCTTTTTTCTCCTCAGTATTCCACGGTGGAAGAAGCTGTAGCAACTCGTAATGCCCTCCATGGGGTTAAGTGGCCACAGTCAAACCCCAAATTCTTATCAGCAGACTTTGCTGAACAAGATGAGGTATGAGCATCGGGAGTGGGGGAAATGAGGGCGGGGTTCACTAAGAGATTTGTCATTAGGTCCAGAACAGAATAGTAAAGCAGGAGAGAGAGATTTATTCCCTATTTACAAATAGAATTCTCTTCTAGTTGTTCCTTGTAGTAGAGAATCGGAATAAACAAAAGCATAGAACATTTCTCTGACAAAGAAGACCCCCCTCCCTCAAAAAAGGAGAGTAAAAGTGATTGAAAAAAATGTCAATTTAAGGTGGATGAACGATAAATGTTTATCTTAGTGGAACGTATTTTCCTTTGGAACTCTGTACATTTGATATTATAATGTATGGTGCTCGTAATAAATGTGTAAAGGCTCACACTTTGGATGAAAATCCACCGATAACTTTGGGCAATTCACACTTTCCCAACATGTATGTAAAGGTTGTGGCAACCCTTTAAATACATCTTGCCAAGAAAGTCACTGGAAGGCCCCGGTGACTCAGTAGGTTAAACTGCTGAGCTGCTGAATTTGCTGACCAAAAGGTTGGCGAGCCAAATCTGGGGAGCAGGGTGAGCTCCCGGTGTTAGCCCCAGCTTCTGCCAATCTAGAAGTTCAAAAACATGCAAATATGAGTAGATCAATAGGTACTGTCAGCTTCTGCAGGAAGGTAATGGCGCTCCATGCAGTCATGCCAGCCACATGACCTTGGAGGTGTCTACGGACAACACAGGCTTTTTCGTCTAGAAATTGAGATGAGCACCACCCCCCAGAGTCAGACAAAACTAGACTTGATGTCAAAGGAAAACCTTTACCTTTACCAAGTCGCTATAAGGTCACAATGTGGAGGCACCTCACAACAACAACAACAACAAGTCTACTTTTGGCTGTTTCCCATTATGGATAGAGAGTAGGAAGCATTCTATCAGTTGTGGTGCTTCCAAATATAGGCATCTAACATAGATTACTTTGTCTGCTTGGTCGTCTTTCCAAGGCATGTAGCTATCAGAGAAAGAGAGATAGTGAAATAATAAGCTAGGTCAGGGCTCCTTAAACATTTCCAACCTTTTGCCCAAGAAATTTTTGTGTGACCCTGGATATATAGGTATTTAAATAGGTATAAACTTCAAACATTTCCTGTTAACAAATCAGCAGGAGAGAGAGATTTATTCCCTATTTCCAAATAGATTCTCTTCTAGTTGTTCCTTCTTTGCAAGGCTTGCTAAGAAGCATCTCCTGCAGGGTCCACAACAGATTTTTGTAAATGGCTAAAAAAGCCATTCGGGGCCCCAGCATTGAGCTAATGGGACCCAATTTGGGTTTGGGACCCACAGTTTAAATGAGTTAGATGACTGTTTTATCTGCATTTTCCTGTTTAGCTCTTGAGCAACCCCCACGTGATTGAAAGCGCCTAAAACCATTTAAACCCAGTGAAATGAGTCAGGAAAACTCTTTCATAGGGGAAGTTTGGGATAATATGCTGCATGTTAAGGTAAGCTGCAGGGCATGTACCGAATTTTTTTCTTCCTCTTTGGCAGCTGGATTTCCATCGTGGCCTGTTGGCTGAGCGCCCCGCAGAAGCCAAGGCGGAGGAGTCACTCCCGCTCCCAGGCGCCATGGGCCCAGTGGCAAGAGGGGATCGCGAATTGTCCCGGCGCTCGGAGGCAAGGGAGCGAGAGGCGGCAGTGCGAGAGCAATGGGCCGAGAGAGAGCGGGAGATGGAGCGCCGGGAGCGGACACGGGCCGAACGGGAGTGGGACAGGGACAAAGTGCGCGAGGGCCCCCGGTCACGCTCCCGATCCCGAGAGAGACGCCGCAAGGAGCGGCCCAAGTCCAAGGAGAAGAAAGCGGAAAAGAAAGGTAGGTTCTGCTGGCGCGACCAAGGATGTGGGACCATTTTCCACTTGGTTGGGCCTGATGTAACCTGAACCAGGCACTTCCAGCAAAAAGTGGAAAATCATTTCCATTTTTATAAAATGCTTTTGGGAGAATAAACCCAAGTACTATTTCAGTGACTTCATTTGGAACGGTGGTTGTGAAGTTTTGTGACTATAGATTTGGACTTCACCTCCTATAATCAAGCCCATCTGGACATTGAAGTCCAAAAGACTTGGTGAATTCAGGTATGAGTATCCCTCCCTTTGAGGATAATTGTGTCCCTATTGATAGGGAAAACTATCCCAAAATAAACAGCAGAACATCCAAAAATAAACAGAATACAAAAGTTGAGCATCAACTCATTAGCAAGCAGAGCATGATGTGCCGTGTGATGTGGCTGTAAAGATTGGTGAAACATGCAGAGTCCAATCTTTCACAAAAATCACAAAAGGTTTATTTACAATAATAAGAAATAACTAGATTTCTTAATAATCAAGAACTGGGTCTGAGCTACTCTAACACCCATCTCTTCTAAGGTTTCAAGAGAGGGAAAAACTCAAATCATTACATCTCTCCTGATACACAAGCAGAGAGAGATCTCAAAGCACACACTCTCCATACTGAGGTGTAAGAAGGCAAAAGGTAGATTCAAAAAGCTTGCAGTAGAAAAGTATTCATTTTAAACAACCAATCAGAATGAGAACAGAAACAGAGAGGAGAGAAGAAATTACAGTGTTCTCTCACTATCGCAGGTGTTCTGTTCCAGGAACACCCGTGATAAGTGAAAATCCGCAATGTAGGGACGCCTGGCTGCTGCTACTGATGACTGAGGGAGGAGGGCGCCTGCCCGGCTGAGGCCTTCTTTACCCCTACCAAGGGAGACCCTCGCCCTCCCGACCCTGTCCCCTCCGCCTCCAGCGAAGGAGCAAGGTCCAGCTGCTCTCCAGCTCTTCCAAAGTCGTCCCTTCTCTTCCCGGGGCAGAGCTTCATCCCGCTCACCCCAGATCCGGGCCTCTCCTCCTTCCCCGCTTCCTTCTCTGCTTCCCTCCCGGCCTCCCTCACTCACCAAGCAGCACTGCGCTGCGGCCAGGAAGGGCCTCATCACTGCTACCCTCCTTCCTCAGTCAGCAGCAGTTCAAGGAGACACTGGAGCAGGAAGGAGGCGATGGCATGCTTCCCTCGTTCTCGGTGGTGACCTCCTCTCTTTCCCTGACTCAGCCCCCAATAAATTAATATTTATTTTTTTAAACCGCGAAACAGCGAGTCCGCGTAAAACGAACCGTGAAACAGCGAAGGAAAACTGGATATATTCCCAACTGTTATTCAAGAGACATGGGGGAAGGGAAACCCTTAGTCTATTCTAAGCTTACTAAACTCTCCCTCGTTGAGGACTTGAGACTTGGTCAGTATGGGGTTGAATTCCAACACCTAGATCAGGCATTTTGAACTGTGGTGCTGGAGGAAAGTTCTGAGAGTGCCTTAGACCACCAGAAGATCCAACCAGTCCATACTTCAGGAAATAAAGCCCAACTACTCATTGGAGGGAAGGATAGTAGCGGCAAAGATGAAGTACTTTGGCCACATCATGAGAAGAAAGGAAAGCTTAGAGAAGACAATGATGCTGGGGAAAATGGAAGGAAAAAGGAAGAGGGGCCGACCAAGGGCAAGATGGATGGATGGCATCCTTGAAGTGACTGGATTGACCTTGAAGGAGCTGGGGGTGGTGACGGCTTACTGGGAGCTCTCCACGAGGTCACGAAGAGTTGGAAATGACTGAACAAATGCACAACAAAGAGCAGGCATGGGCAAACTTGGGCCCTCCGGGTGTTTTGGACTTCAACTCCCACAATTCCTAACACCCATAGGCTGTTAGGAATTGTGGGAGTTGAAGTCCAAAACACCAGGAGGGCCCAAGTTTGCCCATGCCTGCCCTAGAGGCACAGTTCTTTAGACATATATGAGGCACATATATGTATATATATATATATATATATATATATTCAGTCTTGTGTTGAGTGGGAAGGAAGATCTCGAGGCTTCAGAAATATATCAAGTGGGAGAAGTTGTTTCTAGTTGTGGGAAGCAGGAAGCCGATGGTTTGTCCTTGAAGTTCCTTTCAGAGCTGCTCAACAGTGGAATAGACTCCCTCAGTGGGTGGTGGTCTCTCCATCTGTGGAGATCTTTAAATAGAGATTGGATGCGCGCCTTTCATGAGTGGTTTATGGATTCCTGCCTGGCAGGGGGTTGGACTGCATGGGCTTTTTGATCTTTTCCATCTCTGTAAGATTCGATGGTTCCCTTTCTTTTATCAGAAGGCTGCATAAAATCCTCTTCCAATCCATCAGGCTGACACTGATGGGAGCATTAAAGTAACCTAGGTGTTCCATATTTTCCAACAACAAAGGCTCTCCCTTTTCTCAGCTTGCCCATCCAGCCGCTGCCATTTTGACCTGCCAAGTCTGTTTGAAGCAAGGGCAGGCTTGACTCTTCAATGCTGAACATGGGCTGAGCAAGGAAAAGATGTGCAGCTCACAGTTAACACTCCAGTTTTGACATCCAACGCTCCAATTAAGCTTGAGGCTCCTGCCATGCTGTTGACGATGTTCTCCTTTCCTTCTTTTATTTATTTATTTACAGCTTTTATATTCCGCCCTTCTCACCCCGCAGGGGACTCGGGGCGGATTACAGTGTACACATATGTGGCAAACATTCAATGCCAATTTTTGACATACAAACATGAACAGACATGCACAGAGGCTATTTAACTTTTCTGGCCGCCGGGGAGCTGTTGCTTTCATCATCCATCTGCGACGCTGATGAAGCACTTCTGCATTCCCGCATGCTTCCCTGCTGGATGCTTTGCTGGAGTCTTCTTTATGGCCTCATAAATCGGTTAATTTAGCCTCCCCACACTTTAAGGTGGTATCTTATTTTCCTACTTGACAGATGCAACTGTCTTTCGGGTTGCAAAGGTCGACAACAGGCTACACACAATTGGTTGAAAACCCACTCCAAGCCGGGAGTTTTGGTCAGAGTGATCTTAATGCAGCTGGCAGCGAGCTGCGCCACAATCCCAGTGCTTTTAGAATCATGGAATCATAGTTGGAAGAGACCTCATGGGCCATCCAGTCCAACCCCCTGCCAAGAAGCAGGAAAATTGCATTCAAAGCACCCCCGACAGATGGCCATCCAGCCTCTGTTTAAAAGCTTCCAAAGAAAGATCCTCTACCACACTCCGAGGCAGAGAGTTCCACTACTGAACAGCTCTCACAGTCAGGAAGTTCTTCCTCATGTTCAGATTGAATCTCCTCTCTTGTAATTTGAAGCCATTGTTCTGCGTCCTAGTCTCCAGGGCAGCAGAAAACAAGCTTGTTCTCTCCTCCCTATGACTTCTTCTCATATATTTATACATGGCTATCATGTCTGTTTTGCTCTCCAATAGAAAAGGCCCAGGAGGAGCCCCCCGCTAAACTACTCGACGATCTGTTCCGCAAAACCAAGGCAGCCCCTTGCATTTATTGGTTACCCCTTACGGACACTCAGGTAAGAAAACCAATTTCGTCAAAGGCTCTGGAGAGAGGTGCCAGTGTCAATTGGCATAACCCAACTGGGCAAAAAGTTTGTCTAACTTAGACAGTCATGTTTGATGTTTACTCCATTAAGAGTGTGTGGACTCTCATCCAGAATATCACTTCAACAATCTTGTTTTCTCAGTTCACAGCAACTTTTCTTTTTGGGTCAGTGGAAAAGAGACAGATTATAAAAGTTTCATAAATGGTTCTCTAGGAATCTTTAGGGCTTCTATGGACAAGTTCCCTCCAGTATGAGTCTATGGCAGGCTGTGACTTTTAACCCCAGTGACTTCATCCCCTGATCACAACCATGCTTAGCAAAAGTCACCTATCAATGCCATGTTTACATCCTGATCTTTTGATTCAGCACCTCCCTCTTTCTCCTGGATCTAGTTATAGGAGGCCTGGGCAAATTTGGGCTCTCCAGGTTTTTTGGACTACAACTCCCACAATTCCTAACAGGCCCCTTCCTTTTCTAAAATATTAAAAATGAATTGAGTATTTTTGATTACAGGGGTGTTAGTCAAACACTGAAGAGTTAGTAGGCCGAAGCCTGTCAAGTGTCGATGGGCCAAAGCTACTGTCGCCCTGAGGAGAGGGAGTAGGCCAAAGCCTGTTAAGAATCACTGTGCTAGTGTTGCCCTGAGGAGAGGGAGTAGGCCGAAACCTGTTAAGTCGGTGGCCCAAAGCTAGTGTCATCCTGAGGAGAGGGAGTAGGCTGAAGCCTGCTAAGAGTTAGTGGGTCAAAGCTTGTGCCATCCTGAGGAGAATGAGTAGGCCGAAGCCTGCTAGAGTCAGTGGGCCAAAACTGGTGTTGTCCTGAGGAGAGTGAGTAGGCCGAAGCCTGTTAAGAGTGGGCCAAAGCTAGTGTCGCCCTGAGGAGAGTGAGTAGGCCGAAGCCTGCTTAGTGGGCCAAAGCTTGTGCCATCCTGAGGAGATTGAGTAGGCTGAAGCCTGCTAGAGTCAGTGGGCCAAAGCTAGTGTTGTTCTGAGGGAGTAGGCCAAAGCCTGTTAAGAGTCAGTGGGCCAAAGTTAGTGTCATCCTGAGGAGAGGGAGTGGCCCGAAGCATGTTAAAGAGTTAGTGGGCCAAAGTTAGTGTCGTCCTGAGGAGAATGAGTAGGCTGAAGGCTTTTAAGAGTCAGTGGGCCAAAGCTAGTATTATCCTGAGGAGAGTGAGTAGGCCGAAGCCTGTTAAGAGTCAGTGGGCCAAAGCTAGTTCTGTCCTGAGGAGAGTGAGTGGGCCAAAGCATGTTAAAGAGTTAGTGGGCCGAAGCTAGTGTCATCCTGAGGAGAGGGAATAGGCTGAAGCCTGTTAGAGTCAGTGGGCCAAAGCTAGTGTCATCCTGAAGAGAGTTGAGTAGGCCGAAGCCTGTTAGAGTCAGTGGGCCAAAGCTAGTGCTGTCCTGAGGAGAGTGAGTGGGCCAAAGCATGTTAAAGAGTTAGTGGGCCAAAGCTAGTGTCATCCTGAGGAGAGGGAGTAGGCCAAAGCCTGTTGGAGTCAGTGGGCCAAAGCTAGTGTCATCCTGAGGAGTGTGAGAGTAAACTCTCGTGTGAGAGTAAAGTCTTGTGTGTGAAACTCCAGTGTATAAAGGCTGCTGTGTGTATAAAGCTACTATGTATTTCTTTATTTGCATTATGGAAACCTAGTTCTTGTAAATAGTGCAACTATATTATTTTACTACAAAGAAAAGCCTCCTATAGCAAATACAACATTGGTCTGTGTGTTTTTGTTCTTTTTATCACTTTGGGCTACTGTTGCTGGTTCATGTGGACTGGGGATAATGGGAATTGCAACCCAACAGCACTTGGTGGCTTCTTTTTTCCATGTCAGGAGCGACTCAAGAAACTACAAGTCGCTTCTGGTGTGAAAGAATTGGCTGTCTACAAGGACATTGCCCAGAGGATGCCTGGATATTTGATGTTTTTTACTATCCTTGAGGGAGGGTGATAATGGGAATTGCAACCCAACTACACTTTTTTCCATATCGGGAGCGACTCAAGAAACTGCAAATCGCTTCTGGTGTGAAAGAATTGGCTGTCTACAGGGACATTACCCAGAGGATGCCTGGATGTTTAATGTTTTTTACTATCCTTGTGGGAGGCTTCTGTCATGTCTCTGCATGGGGAGCTGGAGCTGACAGAGGAAGTTCAACCCGCTCTCCCCAGATTCAAACAGCTGACCTATTGGTCAGCAGTCCTGCTGGCACAAGAGTTTAGCCCCTTGTGACAGCGGGGGCTCCAATGTGGAGGGATGACTGTGCATCATTTCGAAGAAATGCAGTTTCTTTCCTGCTAGATAGATGGAGCCAGTGTTCCACAGCTAATTAAGGCAACTGTGTTTAAAGAAGAAGAAAGCAAGACCATAACAGTTTGGGTTAAGCTATTTAGGCTAATGACCGTGGAGAGGTTTTCCTTACTCTGAAATGTGAATTAAAGCAGGCTGCCAGTACTCAAATCAGCACCCCATTCTGGATGCAACCCTGATTCCCTCTTTCTTCTATCTGTAGGATTCTCAGTCTGTTTACCTTTCTCGCAGCCGTCCTAATCTTATTTCCTTTCTCCTCTTGGCTTGTCTCCCACTCCAGTATGTTCAGAGGCAAGCGGAGAGAGATGCCCGGGCACGGGAACGGGAGCGCCGGCGCAAGGAGCTGGAGGCCGAAGAGGCCCGCCAGCGGGAGCGCAGCCGCCAAGCCGAGCGGGAGAAGCGCCGGGAGCACAGCCGGGAGCGGGAGCGCCCCAGCGCCACGGCAAGCGGAGCCAGCAGCAGGGGAGGAGGAGGAGGCGGCGGAGGAGAGCGCAGTAGCGGAGGAGGTGGCGGTGGCGGAGGTGGCAGGGAACGGGAGCGGGAACGGCGGGAGGCCAAGACCCGACACAGCCGGAGTCGGAGTCGCAGCACGCCTGTACAGGACAGAGGGGGGCGCCGCTGAACTATTCCAGCTTTTTTTTTTCTTTGACCTTCTGGGGAAGGGGGAGGGCGGTGACAGCGGCGGCATTGGCCCTTTCCCCTTCTCCCTCTCCCCCTCCTGCCCTGGTTCATGGGGGAAAGGAATGAGTCAGGCTTTCCTTTCCCAGCAGCTACATACAAGGAGAGGAGGGAGAGGAGGAGGAGCAGAGTGCTGAGACGAAATAGCTGCAGGGTCCTTCTTCTTTCCTGTTGGGATCCTTGTGTCCCCAGCCCTTCCGCTCTCCTCCTCCTCCTCCCGGGGCCAGTTCCCTCTCCCATTAATTTGTATTTTATTTTGGGAAGATTTTTTTTAATTATTATTCTTGATGATACAGGAAAAGAGAGCATAATAAAGAGATGGCGTTAGTTTTATACCTGCTGTGCGTCTTTTTTGGAGGGCAAGGGAGACGAGCGCTAGGGGCCCATTTGCGAGGGCAGTGTTTTTGTATTTCCTCCTTGGAGATTTGAAATCTCTGGTGATCTCTTGCGATGTTACTTCTCATGTAGCTGCTGGAAGTACAGCTTGATCTTACTCAGGTTCGATTTATTCCTGCCACCTGTTAACAGAGGAAAAAAGCAATTCTGCAAAGCAGGTAAAAATCCCAAGAATTTTCCAGGGACCTTATTAAAACAGTACTAGAGTTCTCCAAGGGCAACACATTATTTGGATTTATGTACCATTCCCTGTACAGCCACTAAGGGGCAGGCTGCCCAAGTACAACAAGCTTTAAGATTCAGTAACTCAGCTCTACGCAATGGGTACGGCTATGTATCTTCTGACATATTGTTGAATTGTCCATTTAACTTGGAAATTCCCCAAATTGCTTCTTGCTCAAGTGTTAAAACGCTCCCTGCTTTCCTGGGACTTTGAAGGAAGCGACGCACTAAAGAGAGAGTGAACTTGTCAGCGAACCCCTTGCTCCGTTTTGCTTTGCTGAATTTCCAGGCGTTCACTTAACGCATCTACAAGCCTGAACACAATAGAAACATCATTTTGGACTCCAATTAGTTCTGTCTCATTGTGAACCCAAAAACTGAATGTGATGCAGAAACTGATATTCTTAGTAAGTCAGTCAGTTTAGGTTTGGTTGCATGCTGCAAGTCGTTTCTGGTTGTGAGGGAATCAGCCATCTCCAAAGATATAGCCCAGGGGATGCCCAGATGTGCTATGATCCTGCAGGGAGGCTTCTCTTATGTTCCTCTTCAGTTTAGGTGTGTGTGTGTGCCTTCATAATCCTACTTGGGATGTTGTCCCAGTTCAACGATCCACGTTTGGGCCTGTTGATCTGTGGCGACTCCATGAATGTTGCATAAGCTTTTCCCATATTTGTTTTGTGATGTTTTTGCATTGAATTTTGCTGTTGTTAACCGCCTTGAGTCACCTGAGGGCTGAGAAAAGCGGTATATAAAAGAAGTAAGCCGCACCGAGTCCTTCGGGAGATGGTAGCGGGGTACAAACAAAGGTTTATTATTATTATATTATTATTATTAACTAAATAAATAATAAATTAGCCAAGGAAACATCACAGAATGGTTTTCCCAGTTCCTTCCTCTGAATTGCCTCCTAAAGCAGTTGGTATTTCTTGGTCTCCCCTCGAAGGACTCGGCAAGGTAGCCCTTCCTTAGCTTCCAAGATCAGACGGGATTGGGGGCCTTTGAGGTGATGAAAATAGGCATGAAAGTGTATGGGCGGTGTCGGCTGAGAGGCAGCGCCTGCTTAGTTTCACACATTTTGAAAATCCCTATAAAAGTACTTAAAAGTATTCATCTTGCAATAACTTCAAGAACCTAGCAGATGTATTGTGTAGGGTCTAAAAACCTCAATTCCTGTGCAAAGTGCATTGTAGTGTTTCCCCACTGGTTAACAGTGGAATTATTTCTTTCTTCACATGTTTGATCCATTTTTCTTTAAGTAGCTTGCAGTGGTATAGAACCATCCTTTTTTATCCTTAAGTCTTCTCAAACAGGGCGACAAGGACTTTCTCATATTTGTTCAGAGGGATTCATAGCAAGGAAGAGACTACTCTTAACTGGTTGAGTGATCCTTGGATTTATGGAGGCAGGATTGATGGCCCATTTTAAGGCCTATATAGTACTCGTGCATTCGGGACTTTCCTTGATCCATTTTGTGTCCCAACTTTCAGAGGGTGCCCAAATCTGTTTTCGTCTGAGCCTCCCGAAATCAGGAGGTCAGATATTTGTTTTTTGTTTTCGGGGCTGAAAGATGTGTTTTCTTTCAGCCCATTTTGGGTGGTGGGGGGACTTCACCTGTAGGTCCAAAGCCTGCACCTGTAGGCCTGGGTGTTTTGGGCCTACAGGTAAAGTCTCCCCTTTCCCCCAAAATGAGCTTTGGGCCTTCGCACCCGAGCCTCGGAGGGCCTGCAGCCGAGTGCTGAGTAAGAAGCTCTCATTACTCGGTGCTCAGTTGCAAGCACCCTGGTGCTTGGGCCTATGTACCCGGGCCTGCAACCGAGCACTAAGTAAGGAGCACTCTTTACTCAGCACTTATCTGCAGGCCCTGCCATGCCCCACAATCAGACCAAAAAGCAGGCTTTGAGCCGATACCCACTCCCATCTGCCTTTCGTTTCAATTGCATTTTCATTCCAGGAGGGGCCTTTCCATTTTGTGCCGTCCGAATGGACAAAACGAAACGGAAACACGAGTCAAACAAATGGGACAAATTTTGGGCCCATCACTACTGTGTAGTCATCCCTCCATGTTTGATTTTGATTTGTCACAGGTTTTATTAACTGCTCTCTAGGAATCTAGATTTTCCAGTATGATTCTCTGTTGGGCTTCCAATGGAAATTGACTATAGACCAGGAATGGTCAAACTTGGGTCCTCCTGGTGTTTTGGAATTCAACTCTCACAATTCCGGCTGTTAGGAATTGTGGGAGTTGAAGTCCAAAACACCTGGAGGGCCCAAATTTGCCCATATCTGCCATAGACTCATACTGGGAGGCCTAGAAATTTCTAAAGTGATGTTCTCCCATGTTAAAATATAGCAGTTTCTTCATTACTATTTTTTATGGGAGCCTCTAAATCCCAGTAAATATGGAGGGCCAGTCATATCATTTCACATCAATGCAGTTTCTTTCCGGCTGGATAGATGGAGACAATATTCCGCAGCTAATTCAGAAAAATATCATTAAAAGAAGACCCAAGACCATAACAGTTTGGTTTTCTTTGAACCTTGGATCTAACTCGGCACCATCTCCTTTTCGGGCCCACAAAGAGCATGAAACGTTTTTGCTTTTCCATTTCCCAATCCTTGCATTTGAGCTTGTTCTCCTTGTCTTGTTCCTCCTGTCCCTTCCCTCCGGAAGATGCAAGGCACATTTCTTGGCGCATGCATGGCTGAACCTTGAGGGATATGGTTTATTCAAGGCTGCAAGTGCCATTGGATTGACAGAGTTCCCCATCTTTGCTTCTCTGGATCCTTATTTATGATCCTTGTATGCTTTTAATTTCTTTCGCTCCCTGCTGCTGCGAATTGTTCCCACTCTTCCCTGGTTGCGATCTCTCCCACACTCGAGTTCCTTAGATATTCTCCCCACAGCATCCCCTATCCTCCTTTTTTTTGCTCGGCAAAACATTCCACACCACAGCATTAAATGTATGGCTTGTGGCGAGGTGCAGTGTGCTAAACGGAGCCCCTTTTTGCCCACGGGGATCCTTCCCTTCCGCGCTTTTCTCTACCCAGGTGCGTACAGTCATCGTGTTCTGGTAGGAAACCCAGCTGTTTCTGTGCAATGGCTTAAAAGCAAACTGCTTTTACACACTGCTCGCACGTTCCCCGCACCCACACGGCCCATCTCTGCCCATCGCTTCCTATCCTGGCAGATTTTGTGGCTTGATCTACCAGATTTCCGCTTTCGATCCTCCTAACTCAGGCTCAAGCTAGAGGGATTATGGCACCTAACTGGATTTGGAGCGGCGAGAGGAACGGAGGGGCACAGCTGGAGAAGCAGCTAATCCTCACTCGGGGAGACTGTTGCTTTCCCCTGCGGCTGGTGCCAAAGGTTTTCCCTTGCGGTTACTGCTCCAAGGAGAGTTTGCAAACAGTCCCATGAGTATAATAAGAGCTCCTCATTTATGTATTTTTTACCTTTCCTGTTGCTCCTTGGAATAATAGTGCTGGGCCTTGATTTCCTGACCCAACTCCCAACAGCATCACTTGAGAAAAAAGGCTGAGAGAAGGAGACATGATAGCCACGTTTAAACATTTGGAAATACGTCCCATTGGGAAGAAAGGGGGGAGCTTGTTTTCTGAGCCTCCGGAGAATAGGATACAATAGGAACTGTAGGAAAAGTTTCCACCTCATGGGATCAAGGAACATGAAAGGCACTGCAGACTACGTCAACCTGAGAAGTCAACCATAGCAGAGCATCTGATGAACCAACCTGGACACAAAATATTATTGGAGAACTTACTTAGGCGATCCCTCGTTTTCTGAGGAGGATTGTCTTCCAGTATTCTTGTGGGTCCGTATGTGGCTGTGGAGCCCTATTCTTGCTCTGCATCTTCTTCCGCAGTGAGGGCATTGGTTTCCAGGTGGGAGGCGGTCTCGGTCGGGGTTGGCTTGACACACCTTCTTGGCACGCTTCTCCCTTTCGCCCTCCATTCGTACCTTTTCAAATTCTGCAGCACTGCTGGTCACAGCTGACCTCCAGCTGGAGCGGTCAAGGGCCAGGGCTTCCCAGTTCTCAGCGTCTATGCTACAGTTTTTAAGGTTGACTTTGAGTCCATCTTTAAATCTCTTTTCCTGTCCACCAACATTCCATTTTCCGTTCTTGAGTTCGGAGTAGAGCAACTGCTTTGGGAGACGGTGGTCGGGCATCCAGACTACGTGGCCAGTCCAGTGGAGTTGATGGCGGAGGACCATCGCTTCAATGCTGGTGGTCCTTGCTTCTTCCAGCACGCTGACGTTTGTCCGCCTGTCTTTCTAAGAGATTTGCAGGATTTTCCGGAGGCAGCGCTGATGGAATCGCTCCAGGAGTTGCA